AAGGAAGCCGGGCTCAGCTCTAACGAGGAGTGTCCGGTAGTTTTGAGGAACAAGGGCTGCTCGGTTCTCTGTTGGTCGCGTAATCGCGCTCGCGCAGGCGATACCATCTTTCTCAAGATTTTACGACATTATGTCGAGATGATTTTAGCCGTTTTCATCGCGCATAAGCTTCGAAATTTTTACGAAAATTGATGAGAAGTAAGATCTCCGTAGTATTTCGTATCAGCCGGCTTCTCGGCTTGCTTTTCTCGAGAATCTCACTGCAGCTGGACAGTCCAGCTGTGTAAAGTGAGAAATAATGTTTGCGCAACACTGCTAACTCGATCGCCGCGACGCGAATCTTTTCGCTTAAACGAACCGCGACGTACGCCCACCGTGCAATTTCTCACGATCGTTTCACGGCTTAATTTTTGCAAGGAGGAAATTAGCATGGGCTGTGGCGGCCGTTAAAGACCTTAAACGCCCTCGTACCGATGATAGATGGCGATTGACCACAACCTTCGTCGTCGTTGTCGTCGTCCTCTGGACGGGACTTTATACGTGGCTATTGTTGCCTGACGATCAAACGGGTGGTAACTCAAAGTCGAGACTAATTGTCCATCGTAAAATCACGGACGTACGTCATTACGCGCGAAATCGATAGTTGGACAGAGTTCCCGAGAATCTCCGCATAAACGATATTTTAAACAATAAAAAGAAATCGGTCTTGCCAGCAAAAGAAATCGCGTAGATTTCTTAGCATTCGATATCGAAGTAATTCCGTGCGCTCAGCGTGATATTTTCATGGAATTTTCAACGAGAAATTACTCAAGTAACAGCTCTCGTGCAAAGTCGCTTCTTTATGGAGATAAAATGCAGTCAACAATTGATTTCTTCATCGCGCGCGTGTGTCGTCCATAAATCTTCCATCTCACAGCGTAATCGCCGGTTGTCTTTCACTAGTCGGACATCTCCCTTTCGAATGACTAGAATTTCTCACACAGATAAGAAGTGATTAACACGCGACGAGAGACGTGAACGCACACGTCTGCGCGTCGTCCGTTTCGCGGTCGATATAAATGGGGCGCATTTATCAGCGGATTAATTGATTCATTAAGTCTAGCGGCAGGATTCGAATTCCACGCGGGGTCATTGAAACATCGACGGGGGTTCAGCGAGAGCCCATAAGTCGCGCGCCGGGGCTCCCCTTAATCGATGGCATCATCGTTAATGAATATACAATGATACAGCGACACGCGGATTGCAGTGACCGATCGTAAATTACCCACGCGGCGCGTTCAAATAACGCGGAAATAATAGGGAGGCGCGCAACATTAACATATTCGCAAACCACGAGTTTCCAGAGAAAGTCAGACGAGCGGGAAAACCTCTTGCTCGCAATTAATCGAAAAGAGAGATCAAGGGTCAATAATCTCCGTCGAGCGAGACTCTCTTATTTGTGACTCTCGATTTTCCTTCGCATTCCAATCCCGCGCGATTTGTGCTCGCGATCGCTCGGAACGCAATTAATTAAGCGCGACTCGCGCCGATCCGCATACGTTGCAGCACGCAAAAAGACAGGCTTCGATGAGAAAAGAAATACAGATTAATTGCCCGCGTGTATTTCACGCGAGTGTTGCCGCGTGTCGACTTTAACGGCCGTCCCGCGATACTTTATCGTTCTTATCACACGACATATCGTTCTTAATCGGCACGTCGATTCTCATCAAGCAACATTCGGCCGTGGCGAATTTTAATCAAATAGGATCATTAAATCCTGTTAATGGCCTGTCCTGTCGATTCGTTCAACTTGACAGTCGGGAGGTGAGTTGTGGCGCAAGCCTGTGGCGCGCTTGTGTACGGCATTACGTATTCATTACGCGGGGATGATAACACAACGGCGATGGCGAGCAATTGCGACGAAAGCTCCGGCGGCTAATTAATCCGACGTGGCTGGCGTCGCGGGCGATAAGTTTAATGAGGGAGGAGCGGATTCGTCGTGTTCGCCTTTTAATCGCATATTTATGATGCGAATGCCTGACAGTCACCGTAGCGCGAAATAGTGCTCGCGTAAGCGATTGTGGCTCGCAAATCGCGCGGTAAATTGAAAAGTCCCGCACTGCGTGAGACGTATAATCATTCGTGGAGGTGAAATTGAAATTACGAACGGCGTTTTAGCTCGCGAGGCCGTCTGACATCGGCCTGATCATTATCGCCACCGAATTCGCACCGACGTCGACTCGCGTCTCTCGAACTCGCGAAACCCTCGCTCGAAACTCAATCGGCCGACATGCATTGCAGAATTTCTCCCGGCGCAAGTGAAATTGGGTTAGGTCAAGCCGGCTTCGGGGAATGATGATGGTGCGCGGCGAGGTGGAAGTCGATCGGGGGCCCCGGCGTAATCGGCCGATGAAACGGCGCTGCAAAGTATCGGGTTGCGAGAGGAGCGGGCTTAAACCCTAACCCGTAAACGCGACCAGTTGCACAATCACGACTACCGGTTCGCCAAATGAAGGTCTAAGGCTGAGAATGCGCCCTTTGTCGGCGCCTCGCATGCTTCTCCTCGACGTACTTCCGCGCGCGTCGCCGTGGGTAAAATTTCTCCTCGCGAGAAGACGTTTTCGCGTCCCGCCGAATTACCCTGGATATGCGAGTAACCGTTGTGGGACGAAGACATGATTTTCGCCGTAAATCTTCATTCGTGGGACGATCGCTGTACGCGAGAAAAAATTTGGTCAGGCGAATCAATTTCTAGTGAAATATGAACGAAAAAAGTAAGATTGTGGAGACTCTTTGAAATCCAATCTAAAAATAAAACATGAGAGACCTATATATTTATGAGTGCTTATATTGATACATGAGTTGTCGTGGTGTAACAAAACCGTTGATAACGGAAAATTTTCCGATTGTCACGAAATATAGTTGATTCATCACATAAACCAAATTTGTTATATTAGAACAATTGTGTATATATTGAGAAAAGATATTCGGAAATTTATCTGTGGGATATAAAGTTTATTCACAGAAATAAACTATCTCATAGAAATGAACTTTATTTCACAGTGAAATAAACACACACACACATTCTTTTAAATCATATTTAAATAATTATTTTAAGTAATAATTTTACAAATAAATTTCCACATGTTTTTTTTTCATAGGCGCAGGCTCTCATAGGCCTTATATGTTTTCATTCGATCGAATTGTGAACGATTCAGAAATTCTGATTAAAGTTTCAAAATATAAGAATATTTCAGAATTCAAAATATAAATTATCAAGATTTCTGGTCAATTTGGACATGATCCTGGCAATCGGATTTTCTGAATCGTCCGTACTTCACCAGAAATTGGTTCATCCGACCAAAGTCTTCATCCCGTGTAACGGCCGTCATTAGCATAGGCGCGCGAATATTAAACTCACGTATTGACGATACAAGACGACGGTCACGCACGGCGCAACGACTGGAGACCTAATAATTTTCCGCGAGGATCGCCATCGTGCATAAACGCGCTTAAGTATAGCTGTCCCGTTAAAGTGACGCGGCGGACCACCGTGGACGACGGCGCGTGTCATCCGTCAAATTACAGCGAGCACACGGCGGATCTCTTGAGCAGCCGGCGTTCGTGAATCGACGTGTATTGACAACTCACGTAGGACATGTTTACCCGTTTCCCCATGGTGTTAATTATATCTTAATGGCGGTGTCACGACGGGTGAGAGAGAAGCATCGAGGAAAACGCGCTTCTCCGGTCGCGCTTCTTGCGCGTGAGATGCATAAGATTTGCTTTTCTTTCTTCCTTTCCTGTTTTTGCGTCGAAGAGTTATTCGATATAAATCTCCCATGAGCTGACTCGTTATTTCAGCTGCGTTACTTGAAGTGTTATTTTGTATCGACTAATGTTTGCTGACCAGATGTCTAGAAGAAAGAAAAAAAGCTACCTAGCAGTGGCGCAGGAATTATTATCGAGCGTGGAATCCGGATTCGTTCGTTCGTTACTTCGTGGTTCACAGTTCACTCGGATCACGACGCCTTCCTACGCGTCTGGTAGCTTGACGGAGGCAAAAATAATTCAATTAGCCAACACCGTCGTCGTGCCGCCGTATAATGCCACTTGTTTTCCGTGACACTAATGCGTCCGCTCGAAACCGGACCAATTACTACGATTATTCCTATGTAGGTTAGATAAGAGACATTTTACGCGGGCATCCAATTCCATGCGCGCGCGATAACGAGCCACTCGCGCGCGCGCGCGGAAAGTAAAGAGTGGAAAAAAGCGGCCGTTGCCGCGGTGGAATTTGCGCGCGAGAACGCGCGAAATGTCGTTCGCGCAAGATCTAACTGCTCGCCGGGGTCGAGAGGAAAGAATTCGCTGATTTGCGACTCGACATCGCGTCGACGTCCCGTAAATCATGCCCGCATATTGTCGGCTCCTCGGGACATCCCGCTAATAAATTGCCCGCAATACAGTTTACACGATTAATGGTACTTTCTCCCGTCGGATAAAGTCCTCCTCCTTACGTCGGTGCATCCATCTCTCGTTGCCCGTTGCACCGTGCGCCTCTTTCTCCCGGCGATTTATCCGGCATGCGGCGGGCCCGCATTTACGAGAGCGTTTATCGTTCAATCGATCCGGTCCGCGCAACGCGCCGTGCCGCGCGGTTAATACGCTTAATATGTTATCCCGGCAAATTATGCGTCGCGGCAGTTAATAATTATTACGGCTCCTCGCGCATGCCTAATGCACGTTGAAAGCGCGCGGGAAATTTTGTCGCGCATCACTGGCGGATTCGTATCAGCCGTGCGTTAACTTTGCGCAGGAGAACTCATTGCGTTTTCTCTGAATTTCTTCTTCTTTTAATTGATTGCTCTTTTCTTCCTCTTTTTAATTGATTCTAAATCGAGTAGCATTATGGGGAACGCTTTGGCTTGGTTCACTCAGTCCACATTTGTGGCATTAAAATGGTGGAAAGAGATCGCCGTATTTCTTAATTAGAAAAGAAAGATATGTGTGTGACTTACGTAGATTGTAAGCTCGACGGAGCGGGATTTACTCGCCACACAAGTGAGCTGATCCGTTGCGCAACATCCAGTGTTGTCCGAGCATTCGTGCAATATGGCGCAGTGTGGAAAATAGCTGACGGCCGAATCCGGATGAATGTTGCTAATTCGAATGAGCTTTGCGCGCGGCCACTTACAGCTGCCTTCTTCCTTTATCTTGTTCCAATATAGACTAGCTTCTTGTATTGCTGCAGGATCTATGGGCAAACATTCGACAAGGTAAAGTTAATCTTGCAGAATCCTCGTAATCCTACCAAGACTAGCAGGTGCGGCTAAATCGCTTTCAAGGTTCAGTAAAAGCAAAGCTCCCACTGCACATGCTCTGTCGCGGGGTAACAATTATGCATTTAGCGCAAAAGGCTTATCCGAGTAGAAATTTATCTCATCGTCCTGATTAGGTTGGTCCCAATCAGTAGTCCGGCTTATACAAGACGATGTTATCGGATTCTAATTATTGAGGCCTTGATTCTCACGCTACGTTAGGTGACTTATCAGGACTCGATGATATCATCTTCTGCAAACCATTCAGATAACTGAATGGTATTAATCTGATCAAGTTTGTGGTAAATTTCTAACAAATTTTTACATGAAGAAATAATTAGTTCTTTATAAATTTTCTGCAATTTTGCTGTTTTCTAACAGTGCACACTGAGAGAAAAAAATATTTAAAAGGTAAAACATATTTATTCGGTAGATATTATAATAACATATTTATTTAAAATTTAAATAGATATGTTATTGGTATTCATACCGAATAAGTATTTTTTATTTTTTAAATATCTCTTAATACAGGAACAGACTGTCAGTAAGGTCAGTCTTGCTAAAGTAAGTAAATTTCGCTAGAAACAAAGCAAATTTTTTAATAGCACATCTGAATTCCTAGAATACAAGTGACACATATGAGATGAAAGGATTAATCGATACAGTCGATTATGACTGCAGAATTTTAATTTATCTCTCGGTTACGAAATTCTACTTTTACTACAAAATTCTCTCCGTGTGATCGAGTAGAATACATCTACGTATGCGACAGTATCGTTATGCGATTTGAGTGACGCCATTTCGTTGAGGAGAATCGAGCTTTGAATCGTGCAACTTCCGCGGCTTTAAATCTCGGAGTTTTGAAACTCGCCAACCTTCCCGAACTTCCCGAGAGATATTGCCGAGTATCTGTAAATTATTAGTTGTCGCGAAAGGTTTCGTGGACTACGTCCACAGAGGCGTCCTACGTAAAAGTAACGAGCAACGCGGGCGTTATCGTTATTCCGTGTAACTCATTAATTACTGTCCCGTCGCGCGCAGAGTGTCCGGGATAAAGCGAGAGTGGATAGGTCAGATTAGAGGGGGAGTCGCGGTTTTATCGCGATGGATCTTCTGTAACTCGTTAAATCCGTCCGACACGCTCAGTTACCGATATAATACAAGGCGCGCGTGAGCGAGAGGCGAAATTTGCGATCAAGATCGCGCGATGTCAAGCGACACCCCGAGACCGCGACGGCCAGTTCGCCTCGTGAGCGCGGACGAGCCTCTACATTAAGTGACATAAGCTGCCAGGGCTTTCTATTGATTCAACGTAGAGATAGCTAATCGCTTTCTACACGCGTTTCACGTACTGTCGATAATTACGACGACGCTGTCACTGTGCATAATTCGCTTGAGAGCACGCGCGCGCAGAGAAACTGCATTGTAACCGGAGGTCTGTAAATTCTAGTACAAATAATAACAGCGGCGAAATGTCGACGTGAAAAGGAATTCGAAGACGGATATAAGCTGTTTGAGGAAGCGAATAGAGATTCGCCGTACGCCACGTTACGAGGGTCGAGGGTCACGAGAGCGGCTGCTAAGCAATCATCGCGGGGAAAGTGCGCTCGTTAACGTCCATTGCATCGTCTTGCATTGTCCGTCCTTGCGAGATCGCTTCATTTTTTTCGAATCATCCCGGAATGGAGAGAATGGCTCGACGAGACGATGCACGCTATAGTTATGCAAGAGAGAACGATCCAATCCACAAAATTATGATTTTTTCATTCTTGTTCTACCAATGAACGTCTTTCTACGTAAAACAGTGATGATACAAGTTTTATGGACGTCTAAAACTAATTAAAAAAACAGTCTTCATTTTCCATTAGTTGCGCCATTTTTTATTAGTTGTATTTTCAAGGGTTAAGCTTGTCTCAATAAATACCCGTAAAGAGGAGAAAACTGACTGCTTTTTAAATCGTGTATCAGATTTTCATCTTCTCGACACGTATTTTAACGCGTCTTGAAATTCTTGCATAACTATGGTCGATTTACGTGTCGGCTGATATAACTTCAAATCGCGAGTTTGCAATCGTCGACTCGTAACACATCTCTCGATTATGTGCGTCCAGTGACAGTGTCAATCGGACCAAGTTCGCCATGCATTTCATGAATACCACACGCGCGTGATGAAACGCAACGTCGTTCTTAATCGAAAATTATTGCTGGTAGCCGTCAAACGCACGGCTACGATCGTGAATTCCAGTTGCTTACGGCTCGTCGGCTACTCATCCTCCATTAAAACGTCGTTTGTCGCGTCGGATCGTGGATTAATTTACGGACCGTCGTAGAATGGGTTTGTCGCGCTGAAGGTCACGATATTCTAATGCGTTAACTCGTCATCGATGCGCCGAGTGCTCGATAACTATCGAATCAAATCATCGATATCCGATCGATATAAATATTAGAGAATAAGTTCGACAAAATGTGCGACTTATTTTAACGCGGAGACACCAATAATTACGCGTAGGTATTTTTAGTGAAAGAGTTGGCAAAGAGAGAGAAAGAGAGAGAGAGAGAGAGAGAGAGAGAGAGAGAGAGAGAGAGAGAGAGAG